TCCTCCTCCTCCTCCTCCTTCTCCTCTCCTCCTCCTTCTCCACCTCCTCCTTCATGTTAGGGTCTCACTCTGTTACCCAGGTTGGAGTGCAGTGGCATGATCATGGCTCACTGTAGCTTCCAACTCCTGGGTCAAGTGATCCTCCTGCATCAGCCTCCTGAGGAGCTGAGACTACAGGCATGTGCCACCACACCCAGCTAATTTTTTATTTTTATATAGAGATGAGGTCTCACTATGTTGCCCAGGCTGGTCTTGAACTCCTGGGCTCAAACAATCCTCTCTCTTCCTCTTCCCAAAATGCTGGAATTACATGCCTGGCCATAACAGCTTCTTATGGTAAATATAAGGCTTTGATTCTTTCAGAGTGATGGATTTGGGGTTAACATTGTTACCTTTAGAGGGATTGCTACTTTTCCTCAACAACTATTCCAGGTGGGGACCTGCATTCTGGAAAAATGAGTTGCATCAGAAACTTGAATGAGGGAAGCAAAGGATGTGTTAGGGTTTTGAAATAAGCAAATGCTGGCAGGAGGCTGTGAGTGAGTCGCGACTGGCGGGCAGTTTTCCGGAGCCACGAGGGAGTTTGGTTTGAAAACAAGAGTTTATCTCTGCTGTCTAATTTCGCTCAGGCTGGCCAGGAATTCAGGTCTTTGGACACTGCTAGCAGACCTAATGGGGTCAAACGCAGTCTCTCATAGGGGTTAGGGAGAGCGGAGGTGCAGGGGTACACAGGAGTGCAAAGGGATAAGGAGGAGGCAGGAGGGAGTGAGAAAGGGACACCGGTGATTTAATGAGTGAACTAAGCTCCTGGTCATCTTAGCTTCTGACGTTGCCCCTCCCCAAGCGCTTTCCAGCTCTTTTAAGCAGCAAACAGGATCAGACAAGCAGGGCTCCCTAGGCTCACCGATCCTGGCCAGGTTCTCCGTATTTCCCAAAGCAAAGTCAGGGAACGGAGAGAGCTCCTGGTGATGGCGCCTCGCCCAGAGTTGGGCTGGGGGAGCGGAGGAGGTTTTTACCTTATGCAGGACATTCTCGTTGAAGTCGGGGCCAGCTCCCCACTGGTAGGAGTCGAGTCTCTGCAGGTCCATGCCCGGCTTGGAGCTCGCTGCTCCCTCTCTCCCGGCGCTCTGCGTCAGCGCTCCCAGGAGCCGGGTCCGGGCTCCGCCGGGTGCGGCCGGCTCGG